TGTTGCTTAAAAATGTTCCTCTGTAATATCTTATTCCAGCTCAAAATCACCCTCATCCCCAAGCTGCGTTTTCACCTGTAGGAGAAAAGATATAGGGTCACCGTATCTTTCTGCCACTTACCCACTTCTTCAGCTTAGTTTCAGTTATTTTAGTTATGTTTGCTTATTAATATTTTTTATACAACAGTGTTTCATTTCAGCTGTTAAATTAGTTTAGCTTATTTGGTATTTGTGTACAATGCTGCATAGATTGATTGTTTTGACTGTATGGTTTATAAATAAATGTTTTTAATGTGTTTTGAATGGTGATGCTTCTTGTTCATCTGATACCTTGTGAGCCACTTTGGGCACAGGAGAAAGCAGCATACAGTGGTACCTCGGGTTAAGAACTTAATTCATTCTGGAGGTCCGTTCTTAACCTGAAACTGTTCTTAACCTGAGGTACCACTTTAGCTAATGTGGCCTCCCGCCACCGCCATGTGATTTCTGTTCTCATCCTGAAGCAAGGTTCTTAACCTGAGGTACTATTTCTGGGTTAGCGGAGTCTGTAACCTGAAGCGTCTTAATCTTAATTTCAGGGCCATAGGTTTTAGCCCCATGTTGGGCAAAAGATTGCAGGGGATGGAGCAGATAACCCTTGGGTTCCCTTCCATGATTCTATGATGTGAGAAAAAAACAGCAAGGGACAGGGTGACTTTGAGCTGGAGAATGACATCTGGGGAAAGAGATCAGCAGCATCTCTGCCTCTCTTCCATTCATTTGCTGGCCCAGACTGATTTGGGTTTTAACTCCATCCCACCCACAAATAAATACGGAAGAAAAAATATTGGAAATCAACAGAAACTTCATATGTTGCTGGTTACTTTGTTCTGATCAGATTTGTCTTGTCATTCGTGTAAGTTGCTGCTTACAGACGTTATTGGAATGGCACAGATAGAGCCAAACTCCAAAGAAGCAGCTTCTACATTCTTCAATTATCTTATGAATTTGGCCTTAATTCCTTGCCCCACTTCTGGCAGGGTGGCCCTCTTATCTATCACCAAAAAAGTGGAAATCCACCATCCCCAAAGAGGGACGATTTTGAAGAAAATTTGGATATGCATATAGATTCAGTTGTAGACATAACTTGTTTAATGTAAATAGAAATAAAATCCATTTCACCATAGTACCTGAACAGCAGGCTGCTCACCTGGACACAGTCTCCCTACTAACTGTTGATTGGCAGTTTCAAGACCTCTGTTCTGTGCTCTTCCTCCTTAGAGTTCTTTATATTCAAACCAGGCTTGGCAAGTGGGCAGCTGTTCAGTATACTTCTTCAGACAGAGGACTTCCTCTAGCTAGTAGCCAGCCTAACATCTGAAGATACCAATTTTATAGGGCTGGGAAGCAGGTTTCCAGCACTATCATTACAGGCAAACCTTCATACGACACCCAAAGGGCTATAAGCAAAGACCCATGCATTAAAAAATAAAATAAAAAATTGTAATAACTTTATCTGAAGAGTGAGCTTCAACCGCAAATCAGGCGTAGCTTAATGGAGTTTCCCATTGCCAAGCCTATGGCGCTTCTTAAACGGTGGCTGTACAAATGCTGTTTCCGCTGCCCCAGCAAAAGCAGATTTATAGCAGCACTTTGCCCTACATTCTGTACGCTTCTGGCTGCATCAATACAGAATCCTGAAAAATAAAAGAAAAAGGACACCCTTTTTAGTTTTTCACACACCACCCAGAAATGTACATTTTGTAATGATTTAGGGTTGTTGTTTTTTAAAGATAGCATTACTACAGGCCAATTGCTTCCAGCTAAAGCTTATATTTGGTGACTTGCCTTCTGATTTTCAAGTGGGGATCTGCATATATTTCACACAAATGTGTCCTCTTTTTGTGCTCTGTTTTTGTGATTTGGAAGTGGTAACCCTAACTGCAAGTAGAGAAAGTGAGAAGTCATTGGTAAAGTAATATATTAAGAAATGTAAAGGAATTAGTCTTTCACTCACAGGCAAATTACTATATCTCTTTCAGTTCTCCATCTGTCAAATGGTAATATTATTGGCCATTGTGAAGATGAATGTGTGTCGTAAAGCAGACTAGGGAAGGGACATAGCTCAGTGGTGAAGCACACATGTTACACTTAAAAGGTTTCAGGTTCAATCCCTAGTAGGGCTGGAAAAGACTCGTGATCAAGCCCCAGAGAGTTGCCACCAGTGAAGGAATAGCTGGACCATGGATAGGCATACTAAGGCCAGGGGGCCAGATCTGGCCCAATCACCTTCTAAATCCGGCCCGCGCACGGTTCAGGAATCAGTGTGTTTTTACATAAGTAAAATGTGTCCTTTTATTTAACATCCATCTCTAGGTTATTTGTAGGGCCTGCCTGATGTATTTACATGAGTAGAATGTGTGCTTTTATTTAAAATGCATCTCTGGGTTATTTGTGGGGCATAGGAATTCGTTCATTATTATTTTTTCAAAATATAGTCTGGCCCCCCACAAGGTCTGAGGGACAGTAGACCGGCGCCCTGCTGAAAAAGTTTGCTGTCCCCTGAGCTGGACCAATGTGGCACACGGCTGCTTCCTATGTTCCACTTTGGGCAAATAATCATATTTAATACTGAACTTCCCAGCAGGCTTAATGTAGAATAGTACAACAAGCTAATGTTAATATGATTTGGGTGTAAATATAACTTATAGTAAGAAAGCAAAGTGGCTGTCCAACGAGGCCTTACAAATAGCGGGGGAGAGAAGGCAAGCAAAATGCGAGGGAGATAGTGAGAGATACCGGAAATTGAATGCAGATTTCCAAAAAATAGCAAGGAGAGACAAGAAGGCCTTCTTAAACGAGCAATGCAAAGAAATAGAGGAAAACAATAGAATGGGAAAAACCAGAGATCTGTTCAAGAAAATTGGAGATATGAAAGGAATATTTCGTTCAAAGATTACCATAATAAAGGACAAAAGTGGTAAGGACCTAACAGAAGCAGAAGACATCAAGAAGAGGTGGCAAGAATACACAGAGGAACTATACCAGAAAGAAATGGATGTCTCGTATACCCCAGGTAGTGTGGTTGCTGACCTTGAGCCAGACATCCTGGAAAGTGAAGTCAAATGGGCCTTAGAAAGCATCGCTAATAACAAGGCCAGTGGAAGTGATGATATTCCAGCTGAATTATTTAAAATTTTAAAAGATGATGCTGTTAAGGTGCTACACTCAATATGCCAGCAAATTTGGAAAACTCAGCAGTGGCCAGAGGATTGGAGAAGATCAGTCTACATCCCAATCCCAAAGAAGGGAAGTGCCAAAGAATGCTCCAACTACCGCACAATTGCACTCATCTCACACGCTAGCAAGGTTATGCTTAAAATTCTACAAGGCAGGCTTAAGCAGTATGTGGACCGAGAACTCCCAGAAGTGCAAGCTGGATTTAGAAGAGGCAGAGGAACCAGAGACCAAATTGCAAACATGCGCTGGATTATGGAGAAAGCTAGAGAGTTCCAGAAAGACATCTACTTCTGCTTCATTGACTATGCAAAAGCCTTTGACTGTGTCGACCACAGCAAACTATGGCAAGTTCTTAAAGAAATGGGAGTGCCTGATCACCTCATCTGTCTCCTGAGAAATCTCTATGTGGGACAAGAAGCTACAGTTAGAACTGGATATGGAACAACTGATTGGTTCAAAATTGGGAAAGGAGTACGACAAGGCTGTATATTGTCCCCCTGCTTATTTAACTTATATGCAGAATTCATCATGCGAAAGGCTGGGCTGGATGAATCCCAAGCCGGAATTAAGATCGCCGGAAGAAATATCAACAACCTCAGATATGCAGATGACACAACCTTGATGGCAGAAAGTGAGGAGGAATTAAAGAACCTTTTAATGAGGGTGAAAGAGGAGAGCGCAAAATATGGTCTGAAGCTCAACATCAAAAAAACGAAGATCATGGCCACTGGTCCCATCACCTCCTGGCAAATAGAAGGGGAAGAAATGGAGGCAGTGAGAGATTTTACCTTCTTGGGCTCCATGATCACTGCAGATGGTGACAGCAGTCACGAAATTAAAAGACGCCTGCTCCTTGGGAGAAAGGCGATGGCAAATCTAGACAACATCTTAAAAAGTAGAGACATCACCTTACCAATAAAGGTCCGTATAGTTAAAGCCATGGTTTTCCCAGTAGTGATGTATGGAAGTGAGAGCTGGACCATAAAGAAGGCTGATCGCCGAAAAATTGATGCTTTTGAATTATGGTGCTGGAGGAGACTCTTGAGAGTCCCATGGACTGCAAGAAGATCAAACGCATCCATTCTTAAGGAAATCAGACCTGAGTGCTCACTGGAAGGACAGATCGTGAAGTTGAGGCTCCAATACTTTGGCCACCTCATGAGAAGAAAAGACTCCCTGGAAAAGACCCTGATGTTGGGAAAGATGGAGGGCACAAGGAGAAGGGGATGACAGAGGATGAGATGGTTGGATAGTGTTATCGAAGCTACAAACATGAGCCTGACCAAACTGCGGGAGGCGGTGGAAGACAGGAGTGCCTGGCGTGCTTTGGTCCGTGGGGTCACGAAGAGTCGGACACGACTAAACAACTAAACAACAACAACAAGATAATTCTAAGACAAAGGCTGTGCCATACATCTTTCTGTTCATGCACACTAATGTTTAGGTGATACACTGCCTTTAAAAACTTTTTTTTCTTTAAATCTGAACCAATAGAAGTAATGGATACCTTTGAAAGATGCATTAAGTTAGAAGAGAGAAAATGTCTATTCAGCTATCTTGGCATTCTCAGTAAATTGAGCTGTAAACATCAGTCTGTAAATGGTGTTCCCTCTTTCATTTCTTTCTGTAAAGCCATTTCAGTGTTTTGTGCAGAACTGTCATTATTTAAAAGGGGCCTAAATCTAGTCTTGATGGTTTCTAATGGAGCTGTCTATGAATGTAATTGCTGTGTTCAGCTGTTATATGACTCCAGTGCTTTCTTCCCTTTCTTTTTCAAACAGTTCTAGCCAAAAGAGTGATGACGATTATGAAGATTATACAACCAACAAAACCTGGGTTTTGACTCCCAAAGTTCATGAAAGTGATGTTACCCTTATTTTAAATGGCCTGCTGGAGGGATATGATAACAAACTAAGGCCAGATATAGGAGGTGAGGGTATTTTCCTTCATTTGTTAATAGCAGTGAGTTGGAAGGGGAAGTGATGATGATCACTTAACAAAGCGGAAATGACAATAAAGAAAATATAATATACTTAGCTGCTGACAATTAGTGTTTCCATTAAAGAATCTGTAACCAAAGCTTTCTGAAACAAGTGTTTAGACCTCTAACTGGTATTGCACACACACACACAAATGGCAAAGCTCGTAGTTATTTAAAGAATAGTAATGACATCTCATTATAAACATATTGCTGTTAAAATTAATTTGATGAAATGTTCAGGAATCTATGAGCGAAGTGGTGTCTGAAGTCAATGGCAAAGACTGTTTCAGAATTTGTATTGCACCACTCTACTATAACATTCATTGAACAATTTCAATTAAGATTAATTAAGTGGTTCAAGACATAGGGTCATGCTGCCATTGTGTGTGAAAGATTAACATGGTCAGTAAATATTTTAAGTCATTTAACAGCATGATCACAAAGGTATTAAGCTACAGTAATATATAGTGGCATGGATAGAAGAGAATATGCAAAGGTAATTTTTTGATCCTTAATCAATGTGCATTAATGAAATTATTTGTACTTTAGCAGACAAGCTTTCAGGTATTGTCAGTAAACTAATACAATCATGTCAGATACAAGTCCAGGAGAGCTAGTGTGGTCATAACAAGTCATGTTCTTCCAAAGAAATCATCAGTGGAAATGCCAGCAGGAGCATGATAACAGATAACTAGGTACTATTTTAATCCAGTCCAAATAACAGGCATCAAAAGAAGTCAGAAAGTGGTCAATGAGTGGCCTGGGGTTGCAACCACCAACCAATCCAATGATATTCAGATTTGGAGGAACTGGGAAACTCAGAGTGGGGCTGGGCCAGGATGGACAAGGGCTGAGGCAGCAAAATTGATAGGCATAGAAATGAAAGATAATGAGTACTTCTTCCATGGGTTTTTTTATCTATGACTGCATTATGATGGCACATAAGGAGGAGAGAAAATATAATTCGAAAGCAGTTATGCTGATCACGGTTTGATTTATGCATTGCAATCCTCCAAGCATTATTATTGTTATAGTTGATGTTGATTTCTTTTTCATGATGTTGGTGGTTACTGTTGTTGTTGCTGCTGTTTTGTTTCTTGGACTTTTTCTATATCTGCAGAACCCTCTTCTGGCTAAATTAGTCATTTTGTGTTCATTCGTACAATGTGAAATGTCTGATGTGATGTATCATTAAGAGACTTCAGAAATACAATACAGTTTCCTATTAAAAAAGCAAATAAGCGTTCTAACTATCCCCACCCCTTGCAAAAATACTGATTTGATTACAATCACATTAATAACACAATAGTATAAATGGGGTCAAAATCCACCCCCCTCTTCACTACAGTCATCAAGTAAGAATGCAGTTTTATTCATCCTGCATTTATTGATATGGAAAATCTCACATACCCAAGTCCTTTTATGTTCTTTCTTTCTAGAACACAATCAGATTCTTTCTTTAAATACTATATTTTGTATCTAAGATTTTCCTTTATGTTCTGGATGTTTTACCTGATGTGATATTAGCAGTTGTTACTGTTTTTGTTACAGTGCAGCCAACGGTAATTCATACTGATATGTATATCAATAGCATTGGCCCAGTGAATGCCATCAATATGGTAAGTAGCATATATTAATACATTTTGCTAGTGTTGTTTTTCTAGAAAAAGAGGCGTTGGAACACACTATGAATGCCACACTTGTTCTCTTATAATGGCAATGGCACCCAAATGAGAGGTGCCAGAACTCGCATGAGTTCGGGTGAGTTCCGGCTTAAAAAATGCCCTGCATTTTGCCATGTTTGTATTGTAAATTATGTTATTCATGAATGCCAATACACATTGCTGTACACACCAATCAACACCCCTGTATTCTACCCCATGTATCAGACAGAGCAAGGGCACAATACTCGGATGATGAAGACTATACACATGTATCTAGAACTGGGTCACATGATTCAATCAGACTTCTGAATGGTTGCACATAGTTTTGCCATAAGGCTGCAATCCTATGCACATTTACATGGGAATAATCCCTTTCGGAGTCAGGGGACCTTACTAGTTCTGAGTAAACTTGTTCAGGATTGTGCTGTTAGTAGAGCTGTGGTTCTTTAACTCCATCCAAGATCAACTAATTTCTGTAGCTAACATGAATATTTGTGTCCAAAGAATTATGGTTGCTAAATAAATACGTAAGAGCTGTTCATACTAAATTCTTAATTCTGCATTTCATACTGAAATCTTCCTCCAGTAATATTCTTTTTAGTAGATATTATACACAAGATTTCTCTCTATTTAAGTTTGAGTGGGCCAAATAAGAATTATGGAAACACCACACCAGCAACTAACCTAAATTTTTATATTGTAATTTGATGCTGTGAACAACTCTGAGATCCATGGATAAAGAATGGTGTGCAAATTTAATTAATTAATAATAAATTATTTTCATTTACAACAACCCAAAATTGAGATTTATGTTTTACTGTATGAAAACATAGATTTGGGGAAATGGTGGGGAAATAGCTAAAGCAACAGTTCATTAGGACTGCAGTTTTAATGAACACTTACCTGGGAGTCGTAATGAGCTCAGTGGGTTTTACATCTGAGTGGGCATATATTGGAATTGTGTCAATGGGGCAATAGCATCTGATGCAGAAACATTACATTAAAACCAGGAGCTCTGTTCTATTGTGGGTCAGGCTACTGATGTGATGTGTGTGTTCTCTGTGAAAGCTTTGAAAAGCAGGACTGAACGGACATGGAAACTTATTTTGTTTGGTGTGTTTCAACATTGCAGGAATATACAATAGACATTTTTTTTGCTCAAACCTGGTACGACAGACGGCTAAGATTCAACAGCACCATTAAAGTGCTGAGGTTGAACAGCAACATGGTGGGAAAGATCTGGATCCCTGACACATTCTTCCGAAACTCAAAAAAGGCTGATGCTCATTGGATAACAACTCCCAATCGGATGCTCCGGATCTGGAATGATGGCAGAGTACTATATACACTGAGGTAATCTTACTGCTTTTTAAATTTTATCCAATATACCTGTTACATGTGTCCAATATGAGTGAAAATGGTATCTCCACTTAATGAAAAGAAGTACGATGCCTTGAATATTTTAGACAAGGTGAAACAATAATAAAGCTAAATGCCCCATAGAGTTCATGTGGTGTCTTGGTTAGAGGTTAGTGAATGACCTTGGGCCAGTCACTACCTCTCAGTCTAAGCATAGGAGTGGGGCCCAAATTAAGACACCCACCAACCTGGAAATGGGCTGGGTTAGGATCCAGCAAATCCTTGCCCAGATATGCTACACCTCTGCCCCTGAAATGCCCCATTGAAGGATTTTGCACCTGTTATCACCAGTCGTTCTCAAACAGGCTGTACCTTCAATGTGTATAGTGTATATTTGCAGGTAGGTGGGGGCTTCAACAGCAGCTAAACTTCTATTATAGAGCATGGAAGAACCAGGTGAACAGCTCTGCCCCCCTTCCCTCCACACATGCACTTTGGGCTTTAGGATTGAGACCATAATCTCTCAATCCCAGAGTGTGCTTGCAGTGGCTGTGGAAGTGCCTACACATAGCTCCCTGCACAGCACAGTTTTGAACTGGGGTCTTGCACCCCAAATGAGAATAGTTTTGAACAAGTTTAACTATAATGGCTTCCACTGAGAGAGTTTACAGTTCTGTTGAAGCCTGCTCTCAGAACTACATTTTCCAAGATGGCTCCAGGAGATAATCAAGTCAGTTTAGCTGGTATGACCACTCTTGAAGGTTTTATGAAAGGGGACAAGGTCATTCAAAACACAGCCTGCTTTAGAAACCTCCCTCCATTGGGAAGACCTCAAAAATGGGTAGGAAAAGTTATTGTTGATCCTTAAAGTCAATTCCCCTCACAGGAAGTCAATGTTGCGGGCAGGTCATGAGCCCGACCCGTGCACACGGGGCTTAGGTAGCTCTGCGTCACAGGGCGTTCATCACCTACCCCTCCTATTTCAAGGGTATTCTGTTAAAGGAATCCGGGGTGTGTGTCCTCTGTCTGATGCCCAGACAGGGGCCAGGGCCATAGCACGACCCCTATCGGTGACCCTGGGGGGCTTCCTAGTTGATGTGCATCAACAGGGCTCCCCCTTTTGGTGGTTAACACTTACTAGACTTTTGGCAGGGGGGCAGGAGTCGGATATAGTCATTGGTTCCAATGCCTAAGCCAATACCACTCACATTCTGTAATCAATAACGTTGTTGCCTTTTTCAACCCATTAACCTAAATTCTGGTGTCAAGTGTCTTTATTCTACAATGGGCGAGGGTTCAGGACCTTGCCACGCAACACTGCGACATAAAGCATTTTACTTTACATCCTAATCAATAATACATTAAAAGAAAGAGGGGATTGTGTCTTCTCTCAACCTGTTCACTGCTGTAGACCTTGAACTTCTAGAACTATGAACAATTGATTAATATTAATATATGTTTCTTCTTAGATTGACGATAGATGCTGAGTGTCAGTTACAGTTGCACAACTTTCCAATGGATGAACATTCTTGTCCACTGGCATTTTCAAGCTGTAAGTAGTAATCTAAAAAAATAATATTTAAAAAAAATTGATTCATTTGGAAAGTAAAGAGGAATCTAAATTTTTGAAAATGCATTGCTCAGTAAATGTACTGTACTTAGTCCAAAGAAGGCTGCAGTCTAAAACACATTTACCTGGGAGGAAGTCTCATGGAACTCAATAGGCTTGCTGCTGAATCAATGTGTACAGAATTGCATGATAAATGTGTTGGTGCTGGAGACAACACATTTATGGACAGATGCTTAACATGGATCACTTGTAACCATTTACAGTAGCTGATGAACTAGCCCAGAGTTGCCATCTTACATATTTTGAGAGGGTGATTGTAAATAATCTTTATGTTACATGGGCATTTTTAGCATACAGGTCAGACAAGACTTCTGTTGTCCTGTGTTTCATGCCTGCTCCTTAAACACGAGAAGGTCCAAGAGTCAATATTACATCCACTACACCACATTAGCTCCCCCCCCCCCGCCCAAAGTAATACAGACATAAGCTTCCAGGCAACCATTATTTTCAGGTGGGATTAAATCACATGTTGGCTTATTCAGGTTGCAAAACTAAGATTGATTTGGAACTCTTGCACAAGGAGGTAAGAAAAGAGACGGCAAAATGCACCGGAAAATGTAGGATAACATTTGCTTGATGCAATGTTGTCTTAACGTCCCCACAAACAAATCAAGATGAATATTCAAGAAACAGATTGCCTGAAAGCAACCTATGTGTTTTCCTATGTACAGGATATACTGTATACAACAGTGGGGAATTTAATGCTGGTAGGTGGAGAAATGGGGTGTCAGTAAAGACCTTACCGTTTTAAGTGATCTGCATACAACCCATTATACAAAGTCATTATAAGTGCAGAGAAGCATTACAGAATTTATTCATGGCAGTTTAGAGGCTGTCATAAATAGAAACAAAATGATTGTGACAATTCATTATTTGGGGGAGCAAAAAGAGACATAACGTAAGCATGCCTTTCTGTATTTGTTTGGAACTGCAAGGTCCCTTTCTGAATATAAGCATCATGACCACTTTGGTGTGTGTGTGTGTGTGTGTGTGTGTGTGTGTGGCAGTGAGAGGGGAAATGATGTGAATGCCTTTGTGGCAAGTGCCATTCATGGTCATGTGACTAAAGGAAAGCAACACATAAATGAAAATTGTGATGGAATGATGATCTTCATTGTTTTGAAGATGGCTACCCAAAGGAAGAGATTATCTACATGTGGAAGCGCAGCTCAGTAGAAGTAGGAGACACTAGATCCTGGAGGCTGTATCAGTTTTCATTTATTGGGCTCAGAAATACAACTGAAGTCGTGCCGACAACTTCAGGTAGGTGAAGCTGCTCTGCTTTAATTGATCATTTGCTCCTACTTGACGCTGAAGTGGGGAAAGGGCAATACTATGCTTACTGTGTAGCTGAAATTATCAGTTTCATGGGATATTTCTGTTGACAAGCTGTGCCATTTTAGACTACCAGTGTGGGATCAAAGCATGAAATCAGGCATGGGAAAGTGGTGGCCCTCTAGATGTTGGACTCCAGTCCCCATTAGCCCTGGCCAGGAAAGCCAGTGGTCAGTGATGATGGGAGGTGTTGTCCCACAACACCTGGAAGGTTACCCTTCTGTGGCTTAGATGCTGCCATATATATAATCAACAAAAATAGCATGTTAGGTGGAAGGCTCTGCCTTAGCTCTGCAGGGCCAGTCTGCCATTAGGCAAGGTGGCCAATGTGGGTAGCAGATGTGAGGGGACATGAAAGGGCAGCAAAATGTTAATTAAATAGGGAGCAAACATTTCTACTTGCTAGGTGGAACTATTACCCCCCTGATCCTTTTACATTGTAATTTTGTATAAATGGAGAATGTTTTATATTAGAGAACATTTAAACATTTATTATTCCACCTTCATTTTGGAAGGAAACCATCTGGCAAGAGAGAACTCTATATAATTGCTTACAGCAGAATCCTATGCACGTCTGCTCAGAAGCAAGTCTTGGTGAATTCTATGGGGCTTACTCCCCAAGTAAGCATGTGTGGAATTATAGCTTTAGATTCTCACTGCAAAACACCAAAATCAAACCAAATATAACCTGTGTAACTCTTCTAGTCTCTTGAATACAGCTAGCTGGAGGATGGATGAGCAGGATTAATGTGAGGTAAATTCTTGGCTGTGCCTGCTCTGTCATCAGAACTGCAATGTAAAACGGGTTTCACAGAGAATTTTTGGTAACTCAGTATCACAACTTTTCTAATAGGCTTCTGGAGATGCAGTGCTTCATTTTGCCTTTGCCTCAGGGTCAGCAGTAAATGGAACAATCTAGTCCTAAATTGGGGTTGCTTCTTTGTGCTGGACGGACTGCATGTCAGGGAGCTAAATCTCTTTCCTTTTGCCTGTTTGTGTCACCCTCAGAGCACACATGTAACAGGATCTGTAATAACGACAAAAGATTAGTGACTCAGAGCAATGAGTGTTACCTCATTACTGAGCTTGGGATGAAGCACACAATTGTGGGTCACACAGATGGATTGGATCCTGAGTGGAGCTTAGTGTAGATAAATACATTGCATACTTAATTCGATTTGAATTTTGTAGATTAATTGTCTTGAAATGGATTCACACTTCTGATGTTGTAGTGTCTTATTGTATAAAAAAGGGCATTGTTGACAAAACTTTCCTTTAAGATCTACTGTCTTTATCTGAAGCACATGTAGGGATAGGGCAATGACTAGGGAAATGGGCCAATGCAGCAAAAAAACATTTTTTTGCTCTCACTACCAGTTTGCTACTGGTCTAGCTTCAAGGTCCTTCTGCTAATTCAGAAAGCCCTAAGCAACCTGAGTTCAAAGCACATTAAGGACCTTTTGATCCCTTGTGAACTACCTCAGATCCTCTGATTGGGCACTTCTTGTGGTTCCCCACATCCCTGTAAAATGGTAAAAGGTAAAGGTAAAGGACGCCTGGATAGTTAAGTCCAGTCAAAGGCGACTGTGGGGTTGCAGCTCACATCTCGCTTTCAGGCCGAGGGAGCTGGCGTTTGTCCACAGATAGCTTTCAGGGTCATGTTGCCAGGATGACTAAACCGCTTCTGGTGCGATGGAACACCATGACAGAAACCAGAGCGCACTGAAACGCCGTTTACCTTCCCGCTGCAGCGGTATTTATTTATCTACTTGTTCTGGTGGGCTTTCAAACTGCTAGGTTGGCAGAAACTGGGACAGAGCAACGGGAGCTCGCCCTGTGGCACAGATTTAAACTGCTGACCTTCTGATCAGCAAGCCCAAGAGGCTCAGTTTAGACCACAGTGCCACCAGCATCACATAATATAATAATCTCAATAAATAAGAAGATGAAAGATGAAAAAAAAGTATCTGACGAAGTGTGTATTACACACGAAAGCTCATACCTTGAAAGCTTATATTTAGTTGATCTTAAAGGTGCCACTGGAATTATTTAAAAAGATTTTTTCATCTTTCCTCTTGTTATTGATTATGACTATGATCAACATGGTTATCCACCTGAATCTATAATATATATATGCATTGCCAGCACACAATATTGGAGCAAAAAGTTTATATTTATTTAAATATAATCTACTCCCTCCATACTAAGTGAGCCTTAGTAATGTGCAGACACCAGGCTCTATGGATATCTACAAATACCTCTAAGCCTCAGACTGCAGGTGATGACTCAAGAGTGCCCCTTAACCCAGTAATGCATCAGGGTGCCAGTGACTCCTCAACAAAAGAAACAAATTCAAGCTTTCAGCCTAGTTTCTAACGTGGACAAATATACATCTGTGCATGAAAAGGCCTTCTTGGTTTTGCTTCCATTCCAGGAAGGTTAATGGAAAATCTCACATCAGTAAGAGCTGTATTCCACCTGGAACACAATTTGTATTTCTTGCAGTTATTGGCTTCCTTTCTCTCTCTTTGCTAACAGTTTTTTGTTTTTGTTTTTAAGTCAGATAGGAACAAAATCAGTGCTATGAGCTTCAGTTCTACTGTTATATTTAGTGAATCAATTTTATGAAGTTCTGTGCAATATTAAAAGAGAGTGTTCCTTGAAGGAAACAATCCATTCACATTAAGCTAACACCATCCTCCTAAGGGACCATTAATCTCATTTCAGAACCCTCAGTAGTGGTCTAAGCAGTGCCATCTAATTGAAAGATCATATTTGCTATTAATGCACTCATGCACACTGTCCCTGTCCATTACTTAAACAAATAAATTGATCAATATTAATTGTGCCTTCGTACACAGTAAAAGCTCGCTTTAGCCTAGAATATATATTTATATATATAATATGCTTTCCAGAGACACTTTAATCCTGATGAATTTAGCCTGCTAGGGATGTACTTGAAGCCTCAGAAGAACTTGAATTTAGCCTGCTAGGGATGTACTTGAAGCCTCTCTCTCTCTCTGTGTGTGTGTGTGTGAAAATGGAGACTTCAGCTTTGCGCAGGCTCAAAGGACCCTGCATATAAACTTGAAATGCATATCACCAAGTGCAAAGGGTAGTCACTTCTTAGCTCTCTGTGCAACTCAAGTACTCTCTGTGGTCAAAGAGAACATAGAGGGAACAAGTGTTCTGTTGTCATAACTTGGAACTGTTTCAGGTGGCACTTTACAAATCTGAGGAGCCAGAGGGTCTAGAATTGGCTCAGTTTGGTGCTGCAACTGTGCCCTGAAATGAGTAGCTCTGCAGACTGCCATATGAGCACTGAACTGACTTAAATACAAGCACTCCGACTGCATTGCTTTATGGACTGAACTGGTCTGTGTCACTCCCTAATACTGCAACTTTAATAAAATAGCTAACGGGGGATATTTCATCCCACATTCAATTTTCCTAGGGATCTGCACAAACTGTTCTGTTTCTGGTCCATATAGCATTTGTATGTTTTCACCCATAAGTCCAGCCAATCCTGTTTCCATATTTATTCCATAGCATAAACTGAATATCCATTTTCAATGTATTTGAATGTGTTTGGTTGTTGTTTTTAAGCAGAGAACTTATCAGAATATTTGGTATGTGTGAAATATAGCTATATGCTTGAAAGACATTAATTATATACATTTTTATCCTGCCAAAAAATGCTCCCTGAGTGGCTCACAAATGGCAATAACATTACCTTCAGGCTTACAATGGGAAGACATGAAATAAAACAGGCATAGGCAAACTCTGCCCTCCAGGTGTTTTGGAACTACAACTCCCATCATCACTGACCACTGGTCCTGTTAGCTATGGGTGATGGGAGTTGTAGTCCCAAAACATCTGGAGGGCAGAGTTTGCCTATGCCTGAAATAAAAGGAAAAAGTCTTTGGAGGGAGGAGGGGAGAAAAAAGCAAACTCAGGTGAGGCAACTGCCTCAAGTGGCAAGAGCCACAGGGTCAGCAGAACTGTGGGTTTGAGCCCCACGTTGGGCAAAATATTGCTGCATTGCAGGGGGTTGGACTAGATAACCCTCCTGGTCCCTTCCAACTCTACAGTTCTATGATTGCTTTCATTCTGCCTCATCTTCTGTTTTCATGTATGTAGAGTGTATCAAATCTGCACGTGGTTCTCCTTTGAATGTATATTTAGCTTCCATTTTGTGGCCAAGCTCCTACTACTGAGATCCTCAAGATGTTTGTGTGATAGTACACATTATTTTCCTAATTCGTATAGCCCAACAATCAACTAGAGTTTCACCTGATCGTTTCAGTAGTTAATGAGTCTGCAATGATGGGTTATTTGACCCAACTTTGCGTCCTCCCTCCAGTTAGCTGAATTGATAAATGACTGCATTTACCAGGGAGAGCATTATAGCTGAAAAGGTAAACAGGCTGCAGTTAAAAACAACAACCAAAAAACCCCCAAAACACAAGGCTACAATCTTATGCATACTTGACCTGGAGGTAAACTCCACTGAACATAATGAGACTGAACTTCTGACTAAATATGCAGAGGATTGCCACGTGAGTTTGTGGGTCACTTCTCTAGAAAATTGTAAAGATATTTATAGCGCATGCTGAAAAAAGCATGACCATGTCCTCATTTTGGATGCTCCTGACATACTTAGAGGGTCCAGGCATTCAATCCCGTATTTAAAGCTGCATGCAAATCTAGTGTGGTAAGAAGGTTAATGTATTAGAGTAGGAAACCTTTGACAGGAGAAAAAACATCATTTGAAGCTTTCTGTCACAAATGTTGCTTTAGTTTGGTCATTTTCATTTCTTGCAATAAAATGTTCACCAATGTCGCATTATGAACAGTAAGATATATTTATTTCCTGGAGAGTATGTGGATTCTTTGCATCTTGTGGTCTTTTGTCGGGAGTATTCTCA